TCGAATCGAAAATTCAATAAAACAACCATAACTTGGCTTCAAAGACCCATAGGCGCAAACAATTTTAAGCTTTTTCTAGTCTTAGCAAGATTTTCTCGTAAACTCAAACAGTGAGTTACAATTTGGGTAGTTCTCTTGTTAGCATATCATTGAAACCAAAAACGTATTAACTTCAAATCTACTCGATTTGTCAATCTGTAGATCTGTTTTTTTCTTGAAACATACTTTTTGATGGATCATTGTTTGTAAATGATCATCAATTTCTAGAATATAAATGTTGAAATAATTTTCTTTTGAAATTAAAATTCTATACCATTATCACCGTGTTCATAAAAGATATTACATTCTCGAGTTATTCCTTCTAATTCGTTTAATAAATTCTAGAAAAAAGAAAAAAAATATATTTAATATTTCTTTATAAATTTAAATACTTGATTTAATTCCGATATTTTATCTAATAATTCATTCCAGAATTGATTAAATTTAATTTGTCGAGTAGCTGCTAATCTTTCAGTCACATTATTCGCATTGTTTTCATCATTTTCAATTTTTTCTATTTAAAAAGAAAAACTCAATCAGTTGCTTTTTTTCACAAAAAAAAGATATGTAAAACAAACCACGTTCGACATTATCAGGTAAATCAAAAACTTCTTGTTTCAGTTTCTCAAGTTCTTCTTGTTCTTCATTTTGACGTCGCTGCTTTTCATCACGAAAGCTAGATTCAAATTTTTCATAAAAAAAAAAACAAAAACAAAAATAGCATTTATCTCACAATATTGCTATTGGATTAATGTTTGGATCATTGTCGAATGGTAAACCTGAGAGCCATTGTTGCTTTTGATATTCTAGATTAGAAATTAATAATTTTATCTATGTTAAAGTTGTAATAGAATTTAAATGAAAGCTAAACTTCTACATTACAAAAATTTAGATCCGAATTTGTGGAAAATAGTATTATGCTTTTTAAGTCAAGATTTTTCGGCTCCCATTTCACAGCAACGGGGAAACAAAGGCAAATGATCATTAGCACAGGTGGAGGAACGTTTTGAATCTAGAGTAGGCTCAATAATCTTTATAAGATCCTCTTCGCGAAGTTAAGAATAGGAAGGAGAGGGCGAGCGAATCTACCTATACCTTTCGGATGCAAGACAGTTCATGCTTCGTATTTCCAGCTCATATTTTGCATTGTATCAAGCAAGTACGGTTCAAAAAAACTTTTAACTTGATTTTCGATCTACTTTACTGGACAACAGAATTATTAATGAGGTGCCAGTATTCACAAATAAAGAAGGATTCATATTGTGGGTTTGTCCATTGTGTTGAAAATGTTTTCAGGCATGTAGTCTTAGCTACTGAAAGGCGAAGAAAAATTTCGGTTTGATAAGACTTAGATTGTTCTACAACAGTGCATAGATAAAAATTTATATTCAAAATGTAAAGTCTAGCAATGAATGGATTTTCTACAGTTGTCATATGATCAACATAAAAAATGTGAACTCATCCATTTATAAAATTGGCAAGTAATCAACAGCAGTGTTTGTGAGCTTACTGAGATATGTAATAGTACACTAAGAGATCTGCTATAGACGTAATGGATACATATAATAGGTTTATTTAGCAGTTAAATAAATGGAGGATAGTAAGAATTACGACAATGAAAAGCAACAAAGAAAATAAAAAATAGAAAGATAGTGAAAATTAAAACAATTTTGTTGAAAATGCAGAAATGAATAAGATAGATTGTTTGATTTGCAATCAATTATTCTTAGAAAACAGCAAAAGTCTAATAGGAAATTTTCAATTAACCTATTTTGTATTAGTATAATTAGACTAAAAATCACATGTGGGACCTACATTCCAGCCCCAAAAGTGGTGTGCTGACAATTTTTCTTTTGAGTGTATTTTCCGGAAATATTTTCCTTTGAGTTCAATCCTTGAAACAGAAATGATTTTTTTGATAAAATATTATTTCTTCGAAAGTTATTTTACTCTTTCACAATAGTAAATCTATTATATTCAAAGAAATTAGGAGTCAATGAGAATTACTCATTATTCTTCTATTCTTGGCCTTTTCTGTGTCAAACAATGTCAATTTAACCTTTCTTTCTTTTTTTTTTCAATAGACACATTGAAATATTTCTCAAGTCGTAGTGACTTCTAATTATTCATTTCGAGTCACTTTGAGGGATCTTTTCTCTATATTTATGACCCTACTAGTTGAATATGTGATTATAATCTTCCAGAATCTATAGGGTTTACATAGATAATTTTAAGGCAATAATTCATTTATAAAATACTATAACCATGAGAAAGAGACATATTTTTTTATTTGCTTCAAGATGAATGTAGTTTGCATTGCGTATTTGAAATTCGAAAAAATAAATAATCTGATTGCGATAATTTTTGAATGAAGTCTATGTATATAGTTTATTTATAGCAGATTAGTGAATAGATATATAATACATGGAAAATATTGTTCATTCAGTCAAGAATCCATAACTTCGATGAAAACAAATCAGGTAAGAGAGAACAATCTTAATCGAAAGCAAAGTAGAGCTTGGTCATAGTCTGACACTCTCATTCATATATCATAGATCTATAATTTTTTGTTCGGGTATAATGCACGTAAGATGGCTCATACCTATCTAGTGCTTTGAATGAGAATCTAATAACATACTCCTATTGCTCATTGATCATTTATGTGTGTCAAAATGTACATTTTTTCGGAAGAATAGATTAAAATTTAAGCAAAACTCAGTATGTCAAATTATTTCATAAGTACGACCTAAGCGTGACTCTAGTACACGAGCAGTTCAGTAAAGTATGATTATTCAGAATAAAATGTTTTTTTATTATTGAAACAAAATTCTTTTCAAGTTCCTATAAAGTCAAATTATTCAAGAAAAAATATGAAGCGTATATCTGAAAATACTATAAATAGAAGAAATTACCATGTGGTCTAATATTTCGTACAAGCGGTGTAGCATCTGGATGTGCAGTAATATTAACAGGTTTAGCAAGTTGATTGTCTCGTACTCGATTATAAGTGTCACTTAATTGTACCTATTAAAATTAAACATATACATTAACTCCCAAGATTATTCGATTAGATTTATTTTCAATTTCGTTTTCATTTCATTCAATGCTAATACAAATGCAAATAGTGATTTTTGTAAAGAATTTTATTTTCGAAGATGAAACTAATCTCTGAAACATCGAACAAAAACTTTTCTTTTATCTCCTGTAATTCTGTTTAGATTATCGAGAATGACAGAACACAATTCTGTACGACGTTTTTTCATCGAGATATATCAATCTCATAAAAGACACAAAAATGATGTTTCTGTACGAACTAGCATAAAAAATGACTTTCCATAAGATTGATATATCTCGACCAAAAAATATCTTAGAGATCTGAAAGATATTTTGTAGAGAATTATTTACTATATCATTTTGGATAATTCCAATAGAATTTCAAGACATAAAAAAACTAGATTTTCGCTTTTTCAGACATCTTATTCTTGGAAAACTTCCTATCGAAAATAAAAATTCTTCAAAAAAAATTGCTATTTGGTTTCTTATTAGCATTGACGACAGCGAAAAATAGATTGAAAATAAACCCAGTTGAATAATATTTTGGAAGTTACTTTATATAAATGTCGCAAGAAAAGTTAAAATTCAGAAAAATTGTAAATGAATTTTATTTTCAAGGAAAATCTTAAATATTCCTGAACAAAAGGTATAAACTCTAATTATTTTTATATTTCAAAAATACGAAGATTCAAGTAAACATTTGAACATAGTTTCATTTTTCATGAACAACATTTGGTTCGACACTGTATTTTTGCTGCTCGACATCGACATTTCTTCCTTGAACAAGTACCATAACAGTCACATGCTTCAATAGAAGTAATTATTCCTGCATTCACTTACGTTTTGCAAACTTGAATGAATATTATTGTTGGTAATAGTGTTGAATCGATATCACATAAGTCACAAAAGTTACAATTGGATAAATCCAACAGATCTAATGTTTGAAATCGTGAGGAGATTATACATGTTGTTATACATAGTTGATAGGTATCCATATGGTTATCAAGTAATTTATAAAAGTATTCCATGGTAATAAGAACGTAATACAAAAGCATCTATTTAGGGCTACTTCCTCTTTTGGTCTACTTCTGGTTCTCCAGGAGAGTAAAACTAGTCGGACTCAAACTTTTGTCACAGTTATACTATCGAATATGGGCTACATCATTTTTAAGACTCAAGTGCCCAAAGGAGGGAGAGTATCTTTAAGTAATGTACAAAATAGTTATTGAAATGTATATTTTTATTTTTTTCTATAGAAAAAACTAAAATATAACATCTTTACACCTTATGTTCAGGAATATTTAATAACTGTTCTATAGGAAAAACTGCAAATTTAAATTTTCCTCAATTCTGATTTCTCCTATAATATAAATAAAAACATTTATATAAATTTTTACTTGTGCATCGAATAATTGTCGATAAACTTTATTATTTGGTAAAATTCGAACATTAGCTGTAGCAGATGATGCAGTCATTCGTATTCAATTTATCTGTTCAAAAAACATACGTCTTTCGTATTCACCATTAGGAAAGCTTCATATATTGTCACTAAGCAACAATCTCTATTTTTCTATGAATCATATCTACTGTTTTTTTAGAGGTTTTATAATTCATAATAATGGCTGCTATCAACCGATAGTAATCTATCTTTTTTTTTCTTTTTCTTCCTTGTTCTTTCACAAGGCACAAGGATCAATGTTCGTTCTCCGTACAAACATTTTTATGTATATGTATGTTTTTATGCAAATGAGGGCATGATACTCAAGTCTAGTTGATAAACGATCAGTACATTTGCCTTGACAAAAACCTTGTAGTTGCAGTAGTTTTAAATAAATTTTCTAATCGATTTTTATTTCTTTTCTTTTTTTTTTGATTCCCCATCCCCGGTGATTCATCGGTTGCGTAAAATGGAAATTGATTTTGCTCCATCACATAATCCAACATTATTTGGTTCATTATCCGTATCACCGCCAACATCAATGTTCGATGCATTTTCACCATTGCTTCATTTAAATGATGATTTTTTGGATGTATTAAATTCAACAAATTCTAATGATGATGTTGAAGATTGGATGAAACCATTATTATTTGATCAATTACTTGAACATGATTTACAACAAAATTTTCTCAATTTTAATGATATTGATATAAAAGAAGAAACACAAAATAATGAAAAAGATAAATTCAATAATTGTTCATTACTTATTCAAGATAAATTGAAATTAAATAATTATTCTCAATCACAATCAACAATACAAAAGAATGATCTAATTGAGTTCTTAAATCAACATTCATCTGAACAACAATTACCATCATCATCAACAACTACAACTGTTCGTTTAATACATCAAGCTAAAATTGAACCAACCGAAATGCCAACAACATTATATGTTAGTGGTAATGAATTACAATTTCATCCCATTGTTACATCAAATAATAATGGAAAAACTATAGGCCATACATATACAAGTAAATAAACATTATTATTTTTTATTTAATTAAAATTTACTGTTTTAAGATAGAAGATAAATATAAATTCTGATTATAGATATTGTAGAGTTTTCTAAGACTTGAATAAAAGCCTCAAGTCATGTTCACACTTTTTTCTGTTGTTGAATTATTGTAAATAATTATTGTTTTTTTTTCTTGTTTTAAGCAACAACATCATCACCAATTCCATCAGTACCCCTTCAATCATCATTACCTATTGTACCAGCACGAGTATTAAAAGGAAAAAAATTCAAACGAGGGGGTCGAGTTACATCACGAGCGTAAGATTTTATATTGTTTTTCAATGAATTTAAAATAATAGATTTTCTGTTTTTCATTTTTAGAACATCCAGAAATAGTGCTGCAGCTAAACGACGAATAAATTCTACAGGAGCTGGTAAATATATTTCTATAACTTCGACATAGAAAATTTTTATTCTTTTTTATTTTTGGTTTAGAACCCAAAGCTAGTGTTGTTATAATAGCTGAAGATGCCACACGAATAGATTCTAAAACAACTACATTAGGTTTAAGTTCAGCAAGTAGTAGTGATACAGATCTATTAAAAAATTCTTCAACAACAACAGCACGTTCATCAACGCGTCGTCGTATGAAATCAACACCACGTGAAGTTATTCTATTTCGTAATGGTACATTTATATCAAAAGAACCTATATCAAAACAACAAACACCAACAACATTATGTTTTGAAACAGCATCAACAAATAATACTTGTCACCCATCACCACCACCATTACATCAACAACAAATAACTGCAACTGGTTTACAAGCAGCTGCACAAATTGTTGCCTGTAATGTACTTCGACAAGCAACATTAAATGGTAATATTATTAAAGGACACGACTGGATTAGAGTGTAAATCTGCTAATCCTTTAAGTTTCACTTTCAATAGGTTAGGAAGATTGAGTATGAAATTCTGCACATTACTGTTTATTTATTTGCTTAGTGAAGGCAAAAAGAAAAACCAAATCTTTTCGATGACCTATCACTTCCGGATAAAAACTATGGTAATGATCATTTTTTTAAAATTCAGTATGAAAACTATTAGTGTAAGTCAGCGCACTGTTTCATGTTCTGCAAAATTACCTAGTAATTATGGTTATTGATTAGTTTATTCACGGTTGAACAGGTGCGACATTGCACCTGTATGACCCTACATAAATGAAAGAAAAAGTGTAACTATTATGTAATTTGTTAGAATATGGAAAAGTAGGTCGATTTTCAGCATTAGCTTTCATATGGTGTCGTGCAAAACAAAAAGATTTTGATTACCATAATTATTATCCAAAGTTGACAGAGCCGGCGTCCCCTCCCCCCCCCCCCCCCCCCCCCTAAAAACCAATGTTTGATTATGATAGAACATCAAACAATCGCTTTTTCAACTGAGAAATATGATTTTGATTTTCCATCAACCAGACCGTACGCAAATCGATCAAAAATATCCATTCTTCAGAGCTATCCTTTCGGAATTGAGAATGACTTTATTTCACTGTTTAACAATGTAAAGAATAGAAATATGCTTTTGATTGTATCTATACAGGATAAATAGTTAAATATAGAGAAGAGACTTGACACAAATNCGTGTCTTGTTAGAAATGCAAAACTATGTTCATTTCTCCACATCTTTTTCATATAGGTCACTGAAAAAAAAAAAGTTGTTGATTACAAAAATATTTAAACAAAATGGACACCCCCCCCCCCCCCCCCCCCAGAGCACTTAATCTTCGAGAAATATTTTTTTCATTAACCCAAAGAAAATAAATAAATACGCAAAAATTTACAGAATTTCATGCTTCATCTTGCTAATCTGTTAAAAGTGAAACTTAATAGAACGGCAGATTTATGTTCTAATCCGGTGATATCCTTTATACATACAAAAACATAATAATAAACATTTTGTTTTTTTTTCAGATGCATTAATCGAACAATTGGTAAAACGTGAACCAGGGAATACAGATGATGATTCACCAATTTATTGTTACTCAACTCCATCTTTGTCATCACCATCATGTACAATGACAGCAGCAATGGACGAATATGAAAATAGTTGTTCAGCCACATTAAAAATTCTTGGTTGTAACACAACTGCACCATTAACATCAACGAATACAACGACAACAACAATTGAATTACTTACATTTGCTGCTTTACAACAACGGCAACAACAACAACAATATTGCTATATTAAACAAGAACCAGTTACAACAACAACAACAACAACGTTTCTACTACCTCGATTACTTCCATAGTGAATGTATGAGTGTGTGTGTAGGTCAATTTTTTGTGATAATAAACAACATAACAGTAGCTACAGATAACGGTTTATACAAAAAAGAAAAAATGATTTTTTTCGTTTTTTCTTGGTTGCTTGTTTGTTTTGTCTAATTTTCTGTTTTTTTTTCATTGTTATTGTTTATGTTATTTCAGCATATCAACACACGTATATGTGTGTTTTATTTGACTGAAAATCATCTTTACTGTTATAACTGTATTACTGTGGCCATCTGTTTTTTATTTGGCTATAATTGTTGTTGTTTATTGTTGTTTAAAACGAGAAAAATAAATATGAACTGCAAAGACAGTCGAAAAATTATTTTTTCTATCTTTGTTTCATAGTTTTTGTTCTATCAATTTAAGAGATGAATTAAGAAAAGAATTGATTGATACATATGAGTTAGCACATTGTATGTAAAATTTACCAAAAGTATTAAGAATGTGAAAAGTAAATCTCAGTTAAATTTCAATTTCTGCTTAAACTAAAAATCATAATCCAAAATTGACTGATTAAATTTTCGAAGTTTAACTGAAAATCTACAAAATGAGATAATGCAGATTTTGTTACTAATTGTGAATTTCTATATGAAAACAATACAAATTAACGAAGAAAATTTTCTTTCAAAACACATACCGATAAATGAAAAGGCTTAATTTTAATAATTATCTTATTTTCTTATGATTGTAGATGTGAATTTACTCATATGATGTTTTCACACTTCTTTTACTTTTTTTTATCAAAATCAAACAAATGCTTTTCATCGAGTTCATTTTCCACAAATCAAAATTTATTCGATGAAGTTTTTATTTTGCACGTATGTCATATATATGATATTTTTCGAATAATTAATCGTTTGGAAAATTTCAATTAGAAAGACTATCATTTGTATACTTCGTTGACAGAGTAGAAGTATTTTGTATATTCGACGACAGAAACAATTGACTGATTATGAATATAATTCATTGATATTCGAAAAACAAAAGAGAAAAAACTAAATTTTCCTGTTCAAACTTTTGCAAAAACAACAATACCTATAACAGTTAATTGATTGCGTTATTTGAAAATTATTGCGTTTGCCAAGAATGGATTATTAGAAAAAGATGCTTCTTTATTCCTAGTGAAATAAATCAGAGCTCGCAAGTGAAAAGAAATTCAATCTTAAGCAAATATTTTTTGAAATCTATATTGGCTTGATAGAGTTTTATTGAATCACATGTATCAAGCTATTAATAAAGTTATTCATAAGTTTCTATGGAAACGGCCATGAAAAGTAAACTCATTCAGTTTTGTTAAATTTAAAAAACAACGAAAACTGTAAATTTTTCAAACCAAAAAAGGAAATCTATATTTTTTCTGAAATATTTTGATGAATAATTCATCAAACAACAACAAACGTATTTATTTTTCAACAGTGAGAGAGAGTGTAAAACGACAAGTATCGATAAGACCATTTTTACACCCACGAAATTTGCCAAAAAGAATGACCTGTGTTGAGTCATCATAAAATTCGGAGTAAAAATGAAATGTTTTTTTTTTCTATCGAAATACAGCTTTCATTTTTCATTTATCTTTTTGCATGTGTAAGGGACTCCAGGACCTTCGGAACGTTTTTTTTTTCTAAATTTATAGAATCATACATTATGCGATCCGGAATTTGATATTGATTTCGATTATCAGGTTATAATTCGAACACAATAGATATTCGATCGAGAAAAAAAATCTATTTTAATGTAGGGTGCTAGTGTAGGGTCATACTCAGTTCTTGTCGCCAGTTGCTCTATCAAGGTCATTAAGTGTAAAATATACACGTTGTGTATGAAATCGCCATCCTAATCAGAACCATGTAAAAACATGATTGGAAGCTGAGTTTAAGATAGTTTGAGAGGCACATGGTGAGAAAATAACAACGAAAAATTAGTTTCGAGTCACTTTAGCCACGTCCTATAGAGTGTTGAATGTCTAATCAATGAGAGACATACATAGATCGTTATAGTTTAAAAAACTATCTGAGTATCAACTCAAAGCAAGAGAAAAGTTTTTGGATCAGATTTTCAGAGATCCTACTGAAAAACAAGCTCTGAATCTTATAGAAGAAAAAGTTTTTCATCCTGTCATGGCATTTGACATAGTAGAAAACTTATTTCTACGTGTTTTCATGATTTTTCACTCAAACCGATAAGGAGATATAGAAGTTTGTTTTACGCAGCTATAAAAGAATAACTTTCTCGGAAATCCGTTTGTAACCAGTGCTTATCTCCTTATCAGTTTGAGTAAAAATCATGAAAACATGTAGGAATGATTTTGAGGATATGGTAAACACGATACCAGTGTCAGAAACTTCACACATTATAAGATTCTAGGCTTACTTCTCAGCGAGATCTTAAATATGTTTCTCATATTTCATTATCCAATAGTATTTTGTTGAAGTACCAGGGAAATGTAGTTTTCTACTGTTGTTTTTAGCATTTGACCCTATCACTATTCAAGCTTCTACTCTGCATCTCTTCTTCACACTATTCTGATTGAGATTGCGATTTCATACATGCCCTGCATACTTTATACTTAAGCCCCCCCCCCCCTCAAAAAAAGTCACTTTTCGTCAGAATCATCGAAATTGAGATAAATACATGGGAAGATAGCCCGTGATCTGCTCTTTCATAACTGATAAAAAGTTTTCCTCGATACGTCCTTTTTGTCCAAAATTTTCGAAGATTTTCGTCACNTCACTCAGTGGTCATCGGATAGGGTTGCATACAGTATGGTCCATGCTAACTTAGCACGCCTGTATTTTCTCCTTGCAATTTAGTGATAAAAAACACAGTGAATATGCCTTTTCACTTTTTGAAGTACACATAACACTCGGATTTAAATCCGAGGTTTTCGCATTTATTCTTAGTTGTTATTGAAGAATATTGAGCTGGTAGCCATATCTTTTGATAAAAAATAATGTATTGGCTTCTCAGCCTGCTTCTCGACAAGAAGGTACTTGAAAGTACGAAAAATAGCTTTGTCATGTATATCGCCTAGTGGCATTTCAAATTTTGGCACGCATACATCTGAAGAAAGAGTAAACAATGTTTCAAAAAACGGGCTGAGTGTATCATTTCAGATACTTTATTTATTTTATATTGTAGGCACGTTGAAGTAAAAATAAACAATTGATACTTCAATCGATTGTTTTCATTATATTTTTTAATAGGCACCTTATCACGAAAATGCACGACAACGTATTTTTTTCTTAAATGATAAATATTTTTTTCAATATGAATTTTTTAATACTTTCATATATTTTCAGTAATTTGTTCAACACGGCACGTCTTATTTATATCTATAGTAGGAAAGTTTCATTTGTTTCCAAAATAAAAATAAAATTTCAAAAGCAAACAAGAGAAATGTCTTCTGTGATCCTTCGAACAAAGTTCTTTTTGCTTGCAAATGGCTATTCCAAGAAAGCAAACTTTTGAATGACCGTTTCTTTTCCCAATTCGAGATATTTAAAACAACAACAGAATAAAAAACCAGCTATCATTTTGATTGAGCAACTAAGATGATACATTACAGATAAGATTACAGATGATGATAGATAATGAACTACTTAGACAATTAAACTATCAATCAGTATTATTGTTTAGAAGCATGTTGATATGCATTGATAGAGTTTTCCTAGTAATGAATATCTCAATGCTTACTTTTCAATTTGGTCAGTTGATCTAAGTATAACTTTTCCAACTAGATCGATAGAAAAACAGAGTTCATTAAATTGCAATGATAGTCAACAAAAAATGTGTCGTAATCAATTGCGGAAGCTGTTACTCTTATTTTTGGTAATAATCAAAATCTGGGTAATTGACATTCACAAAGTCTTCACATCGAACTTGACAGTTCCAAGGAAACTCTTAAGCTATATAATAATTGTAAACATACTGGGTTCTACACTATTTGGTTTATTTAGTTTGATTGTTTGAAATAAGTAAGGTTTATAAAAGAAACAAATATCGTGTCTTATCTTATATTCACGAGATCGGATGAAATTAGCAAAATTCATATAATTCTTACTAGGCAATGAAGCCACATACATATGAGATATATTCGGCACGATTGATATTTACACTCATAAGGTATTTTAAAAGATATTAGTTATGAAAAGACTTTCGTTGGGAATTTTTTTCCTTTTCCTCCTTCTGCTTTGGTAGACTTCTAGAGAGAGGACAATGATAGTAAAAAGATCGGTCCTGTAGAAAGAAAGGAATGGGAGAATTAAATCATCAACAAACGTTTAGCTTGGGTCGATCTGTTATTCGAAATTGTTTGGAGTAGCAGTTGGTTTTAGTCAAAAATATCGTATATTTATCTAAATATATAACACATCAGTTGAAGCTACAAAAATTATTTCATGCATCTATTAATCATAAAAGCTACTAGATCATATCTAAAATTACGGTTGAAACTATGCTTTTCACCATAAAATATTTTAAGCCATCGAGATAAAGCCATTTTTATAGTAAAATAACTAATGTATCTTCAATGATCATATATTAAAAGTAATTGATTTAGTAAAAAGAAAAGTAGAGACACTAACTCAAAAATAACTTGTTTAAAATTATTTTTTCTAGCAAAAGAAGTATTTTTCAAGTTGATAAACACCTTGAACAATACAATATTGTACAGAAAAAATCGTAACAGAGATAAACGTTTTTAAATTTCAGTGATAAATCTCTTTTTGTTTTGAGACAGTAACATATCACAAACGAATTGGTACAACGGTTATGCTAAGTATCTTAAATGATAGTTATGCCGTTCATTATGAAGGTTTATAAGGCGTTGATAGATTTTTAAAATGGAAGTATATAGATAAATGATAAAAAGTTATATTGTAGTTGATGAGTCTCTTATATAATTATCTGGAAATCAGAAAAGCGATAACAATACTTTGTGATGTAAAGTTTTGTTATATTATTAGATAAAGTGAAGATT